TGAGTGCCGGCCCGGCGGGGGAAGCCACAGGACAGAAAGCTTTTGTCTTCCACATCCGTCCGTCCCTTGTCCCTTCCTCTCCTTCCCCACGCAGGAGGCTGTGCTCGGGGCCACGCGTGACCGGTGCCTGTGGGGAAGGTGTCAGTGGGCGGGATGCAGCCGGGGCACCCAGGAGCCGGGGGCAGAAGGCAGGAAAGGGAAGGAGTGGGGTGGCCGGAGTGGCCGAGGCTGATCCCAAGCAGCCGCCTCCGACTGGCGGCCGTGGCTCCATGAGTGGCCCACGCAGTGCAGCCCTGCACTGGCCACCGATTCTGCTTCCATCCGGGCTATTTCTGGCCGGCCATGTGGCCGTCTTGTCTGCTCCATCTGCTGATGGTGGGAAAAGCCTCTGAGGGCCACTTGCATGCACAAAGGGAGGGACTGAGGGCAGAAGCTGGCACCACAGCAGCCGCCGTGTCACCTGAGGGTCCCCGGGAAAACTCTAAGCAGCAACAGCTGATGGTAAGGAAGTGGGACCCAGGCCTGGAATCCGTCTGAAGGGCGAGCATTCTCCCGTTGCAGGCGTGGCGCTTGCCCTGCCCGCACTTCACCCAAGGGGCTTGTGTCTCGTGCCACAGGGACCTGGGCCCGGGGGTGTGGCACCAGGATTCCACGGTGGGGGGCGCAAGCACATTTCGGATGGATTGCCCCTTTCCTGGCTTCTCAGGCCGGGCCAGCGGCCTGTCACCCTCCTGCGGCCAGCTTTCCAGGGGGCCTGCAGGCAGATCTTACGGCGGTGCTGCATGGGGCAACGCCACAGAGCAGCAGCCTGGTTGATTTTCATCCCCCCAGAGCTGAGTCCAGCGCCCGGAGCTGAGCTGCATAACCTGCTCAGGCTCCAGGCTCCACACGCAGCGGCACGCGGGCCCGGGCGAGCCGCCCGCGTCTTCCTGAGGACCCGGGCGCTGGGGCAGGCACGGGAGCTGCAGACCTGGGGGTCTCTCAGGGGCCCTCTCCAGGGATTCCAGCCTCACGCTGAGCCACGCGGCAGCACTCACCCAGGCTGGCAGTCAGGAACGGCTCCCAGTCCCCGGATGCTGGTAGAGCGCGCCCTGCACCTGAGCAGGTTTCCACGGCACCGCTCTGCGTCTGACACGGAGCTGGTCTCCCAGGCCCGGGCGAAGCCGTGGCCCCTCACGGGTGCTCCCTGTGGCCCGAGGCGGGGTCCTGCACGGGCAGCCTCCTCTCTCCAGGGCACCTGTCCCCTGCGCCAGCGCCACCTGTCCTCGTCACTTGGGTCCTCATGTTCTGCGTGGATCCCGTGCTGTTCCCTTTCCTGAGTGGCTTGGGTTTGTGGCGGGCGCCTAAGTTAACCAGCTGCATCTGGGGGCATCCGGGGTCTACCGGGTTACTGAATGTGCATCTGACGCCGCCCGACACTGAAGGGACCGGTCCTCGTCCACGTGCAGCCCCGGCCCGGGGCCCTGCCGGGGTCCTGTGGGACGCCGTGGCGCGCAGCTCCCCACGTGACATTGCTGCATCGCGTGCAGCGTCCTGATTTGTGTCATTGCCCCGTTCAGCTCGGTACAGCTTTCTGCATTAGAACAACCTTGTGGCAGTAGGATTTCCAGGTAAAATATGCCCTCCCGGGCACACTGGCTGGGAGCTACATCGGAAGTGAAGCCGCTGGCACTCGAACCAGCACCTGTATGGGATGCCAGCACTGCGGGCACCCGTTTTACCCACTACGCCACAGCGCCAGCCCTCCTGCTCCTCTTCCGATCCAGCTCTCTGCTGTGGCCTGGGAAAGCAGCAGAAGATGGCCAAGTGCTTGGGGCCCTGCACCCGCGTGGCAGACCAGGAAGAAGCTCCTGGCTCCTGGCTTCGGCCCGGCCCAGCCCTGGCAGGTACGGCCATTTGGGGGAGTGAACCAGCAGAACGAGATCTCTTTCTCTCTCTCTGTCCCTTTCCCTCTGTAACTCAGCCTTTCAAAATAAATAAATAAATACTTAAAATTTTAATTGAAAACTTAAATTTTTCCGAAGAGGAGTGGGTGCTGGGCTCACTGCTTGGGACTCCAGCGCCCCAGCTCTCTGCTTCCTGTCCAGCTCCTGCTAATGTGCACCTGGTGGCAGCGGGCGACGGCTGAAGTCCTTGGGTGCCTCCACCCATGTGGGAGAGCTGAGCAGAGTTCTGGGCTCCTGTTTGACAGGCAATGGTGGACGCCCGCCCTGTACCCCTGTCCACACACACGTACACACACAGGCACAGCCCCCTCAAGGGGACCCCACTTAGGCCTAGGGACTCTGGGTGCTCCTTGGACGGTGGCAGCTGCACCCGTGCAGGATGGACATTGTGGAGGCCGTGAGCACGCAGGGTGGGAGCTCCGTGGGCAACCCCTGAACCTCAGGTGGACGCGAGCCCGGCTCACGATCAGAGGGCGAGGAAGGGAACCTGGCGTCCTGGGGGTCTGCAAGGATTACCTAAGACCCTGGGCTGTCCCCACGAGGTCCCCAGTTTGGACCTCTCCCCGGGTCACTGGAGTGCGTGTGTGCCACGTGCCGATGTCACCGTCCCTGCTCTCAATCGCTGCTGGGAGCCGGGAGGCCAGACGACTGGGCTCTGAGTCGGCTCAGTGCTACTACCAGCCGGCCTCGTTACACGCCTGTTACCTGCGACTCGCAAGGGCTAAGCCAGATTCTAAAATGTCCTGAATTTGCAAAGTGATCTAAAGGAGGAACGAGCTCCTCGCTGGGTCTGCACAGAAGCCCCCCCCCCCCCAGTGACCCTGAGTCCCTCACTCCCTGAGGCTGGGAGCGGCCACCTCACTATCAGCTGCACACGGGCGCCAGCCCTGAGGTCTCTCACACCAGGAGACCCCTGCCTGAGGACGACAGTCTCCCCGGGGCCCCATCTGGACCCAGGCCAGCTGCTAGGGCTGCCCCAGGAAGGGACTCTCCTGCCACTCAGCCCTCCCGGGCCCTGCTCCCCACCACAGCGGCTCCCAGCTCAGTGGAGGGGGCCAGGGCGACCCCCACGTTCATTCCTCGTGGAAGACGTGGACTCTGGTGCCCCCTCCACAGCACCCCCTCCCGAACAGTCCTCCAAGTCTTTACAACTGGACAGGGCCTGTGTCCACCAGTGTGCTCCAGAGGGGGCACCTTGGGGGTCTGCCTGCCCAGCATGGCAGCCAGCAAGTCGACAGGCTGCAGGGGGCCTGAGGCTGAGACCAGGTGAGTGTGGGGTCCCAGGCCCAGGACGCCCCTTCTTCGGGGGCCTCGGGTGGGCGGAGGGGCCCACCCACCCATGTTCCGGGGCCCATGTGCCTGGCTCACAGCGCCTGAGTTAAGGGTAACCTCAAAGTTAGCTGCACAGGTGGCCCCCACGCCATGCTGACACCTACACGCCGGGGACACCGCGTCCAGGGGACCCCAGGGGCTTCCCACGCCCACATCCCGTCCGGGTCGGAGCCAGGCCCCGAGTGTGAGATGTGGACAGACTGACCACCCCCGTGGGCGGAAGGCAAGTCGCATGTCCCGGCAGCAGGCAGACGCTTCCTCAGCCCAGCGCGCCCCCAGCAAGCTCCGACAGGCAAGTCGCAGGAGCTGGGCACTGCTGGGTCTCCGCTGCGCCAGCAGGGGGTGGCTGTGTGCACCGGCGCCTTCGTTTCCTTGTGGCTTTGCCTGCAGGTGTCTAAGGCCCGACTCAGGGGCTGGGCGCTTCTGTCTGCTCCTGTGCCGGGGACCCTATTCAGCACTGCTGCTCCCCACCACTCAGTCCCCACCTTGCAGGAGAACAGCCGGTTTGCAGAGCCCTTTCAGCCGAAGGACCCTCGGTTCCATGCTGCTGCCCGGTGTGAATAACCAGGGCCCCAGCCTGAGACCAGTCAGGCGCCGAGGGTCCGCGTGCCCTGAGCGGCTTCTTCCGTGGGGGTGTGGGGCCCACCGCGCATCCCCACTGCAGGTGCCAAGCGTGACTGTGGTCCGAGGCCGGGCCGCAGGGCCCAGACCAGCACCTAAGACCTCCACCCCTGCTGCCGAGCCAGGAGCAGGACATGGCCTCTGCTCTCACGCGGGAGGACCAGGCTGGAGCCCTGCAGAGGGCGGTCCCTGGCGAGGCCCTGCCCCCTGGACGCGGATTCGGCAGCCGTCATGTGCTGGGCGCACTCTGGGATCCGCCCCCATCACTGATGCCAGAGGCCTGGCAGGCTTGGGGTCCCTGTGCACAACCCGCCGGTAGCAAAGGTGGCCTTCGGGTCTCTGCTGCTCACGGCCCCTGCTTCCTGTGCAGAACCTGGGGGAGATGTTAGCAGGACATGCGGTGGTGCCCCCCGAGGGGCGGGAGACACTCATCCCCACGGGGTCCATGCGGCTGGAGCCCTCCGGAGTGAGGGCAGCGGGCGGCCAGCTGTACCAGCAGGTCCTGCTCTCCATGCTTTGGGGGTCGCGCCTCCTTGCCCTACTAGGTTCAGGTGTGGGAGGAGCAGCCAGGGAGCAGGTGGGGGGCCATCCTGAGCCCAAAGCCTCCCCTACCCATCTCCTTCCCCGACTGCCACACCCAAGGCAGCCTTGACTCTGGGTCAGCCCTGCAGGGACCAGGCGACCAGGGACCCCACCACCACCCCAAGCCCTACGGTTTTCCCACCCAGGAGGGCCTAAGCCGTGTGCTGTGCCCTGGCGCCTGCCTCCCCCAGGGACGCCCTGATGAAGGCCCTGGCCTCGCCTCTGCTTGCTCCCGTCCAGGCTGCCCTGCAGGGTGCGGCCCAGCCCTCACCGGGACCTGGGAGTGTGAGGAGCTTTCTCCTCCCGGGCCTGGTTCTGGGGCCACCCTGCTCCCAGCAGCAGCCCCGGGAAGCCGGGCAGGGGAGGGGAGGGCTGGAACCCCGACTCCTCCCCAGCAGCCCACGCCCTGGCCCTGGCTCAGAATGGCCGTGCCAGAAGCCCCACCTTCCGGGACAAGACGGGCGCCCCGGCCCGTGCCGAGCGGGAGACGAGCGGCCCCACAGACCTCAGGAGCTCGGGCGTTTTCCACGGGTTTATTTCACCTCAGCATTAGGGGCACGTACAGTACAAGGCTCAACGGTGTCTCTGGCAAGCACTGGGGATACATCGGCCACACACAGGCAGCAGCTGGCCCCACGGTGCCTTGAACAGGTCCGGTTCATCTTTAACAAATGGCAGCACCTGAGTGCCAGGCAGAGAGCCTCGCCCAGCTTGGGAGGAGCTGCCGTCTCATGTTCCTCTTGGTTCCTGAAGTGTGGGTAAGGCACCTGCCAGGACCAGCCGCCGTGCACGGCGCTGGCCCGGCCTGGCTACTCCTGCAGGTGGGGAGGCACGAGGAACGCGGGCTGAAATCCACTCGGGAGCGGCACTCATCCGCACGCTCCCGCCTGGGCTCATGCCGTTGTCCTCTCCTGAATAACACGACACAGAGGAAGGAAGAACCCAAAACACTGATTTTTAGCTTCAAAATCAAACTCCTGGCTCCTTAGGGAAGCATCTAGAATGAGGACACAAAAGGACAAGTTTGTTTCCCGGTAAGCTACGGAGATGGTACAGCAGGTCACATCCTAAAGGATCCTGGTTCAGAACAGGGCAAGGGAACCCGAAACACCGCGTTCCCGGGGCGTCTGCGGGAAGCCACCTGGGAAACCAGCGCATGGAACAGCCGCCCCCACAATTCAGTGACAACAGATGACAGGGATTCCCTCCTCACTTCAGGATGCGCAGCCAGACGGAAGGTAAGAAGTTTAACCAGTGACCGAGGAACTGTCACAGCGTTCGTCTTACAGGGGAAGGTGGTGCCTCATAGACTCCGAAGCGAAACCACCACGTTCCCCGGCCACGCGCCGCAGAGCTGCTGGGAGTCCACGCCACGGGGGTGCAGGTGTCCCCGGGACAATGCACACAGCACACTGAAGAGCTCACGGTCCTCCCCTGGGTTCTAAATGAACCTCCAGTGGCAGCACAAAAGTCATTACTCGTCACCGACTTCCCCTCTTCAGCCACCCCGGCCCCGCAGACTGGGGAGTGTCGGAGCACACGGTGAGTTCTGAGTCCTGGGCTGACGTCGTGGGCACGGCGGCCCGAACGCTTGGAACCGACGGCGCCCAGCCACACAGCCTGGCACGCTCGCACCTTGGGGCAGCCCTCGGTCAGCGGTGGCTTCCCTGCGTGTCTGATGCTCCACACGCGCCCCAGGGACTGAGACCCCAGCACAGCACGAGATGGGGGGGCCCCGGTGTCTGTATGAGATGTTGGTGCTCAGAAACTGGGTCCACGCGTGTCTGTCTTTCCCCAGCAGGGCGGCTGGACGCCCGTGGGGACTCGCCCGCCCACTCCTCCCACTCAGGTCAGGCTTCCTCCAGGACCCTGCTCGGGCCCCCAGGGCGGGGATCCCTCGCAGTGCCGCTCACTGACTGCATTTGGAACCCGATTTCCAGGGGGACAACACAGGAGTCACTCCTCACGTCACAGTGATGACACGTTGCGGATCTGCCGTCTACTGAATGGAACTTCAGCACTCACAGTGGCGTTCCAGAGCAAAATCACATTCTCGCTCTGTGCGCTTTTACTACGACCATGTCTGCACCACAGTGCCACAAAGACCAGCAAGTCGGGGCGAGGTGGAGTCTGTTCACCATGCTAACAGGGCTGGCGGAGTTTCCGGTGCACTCTTGGTGTAGGAGGAACCGCGAGGTGCAGCTGGCAACCGGCATCGGCATACACTGGAATCGTGAATTGTAACTCCCGTCCCCCGCGTCAAGCCTAAGCATCACGCGGGTCATTTCTAAACACTTGGCCCGGAGCAGCACAGCCACGCACCTGTTCCCCCTTCCTGTCTGATCCCTGGAGAGAGATCCCACCCCTGGGCTCACAAGCACACCACGAGCCGTGGACTCATCTAATCACACTCCGGTGACTTCTGACGGGAACGGGTTGAATTCAGAGTCCTCGTGCACCTTATCCTACGAACATCAGTCCTCTGCTCATACTGGAGAAGCAAGCTGCTCCAACAGGGAAAGACGGCACATGGATGGCACGCTGCGCCCAGCCGAAGCAGCCGTCTCCCGTTCACTCTGGCAGGGCACTCCGCGACTCACAGGCGAGTGTCCGTTACCCCGCACTACCGTAGCCACGGCTTCGTCCCCCCCCCCCCCGTGGGTTCCTCGCCCTGCCCATCCTCACTGCCTGCTCTCCTCACAATGATGCCTGCGGAGTTAATCTGCCTGGTCAGTGTTACGTAACACACATTCAGACCATCGAACGGGCACTGTGTCCTTAACACGGCAGAGAAAGGACCTGGCCGCCTTCTCCCGGCAGTCACGCTGGCCTTCCGCTCACTCGCAACCAAAAGCTGAAGGCGGCTGGCCGCGGGCTGGCCAGGGCTCTCCTCTGGGCAGTCTCTCCTGCCCCGCCGCCAAGGGCTGGCCCTTCCCACACCGTGGATCACAGCCGTCACAGCCCAGGAGCCGGGGCGCCCTGGACCCGAGACTGCTGGTCCACTCGGGGTGTGCGGCTGCCCCCTGGGGTGCCACCCCGTCCAAGCCTCCCTGGCCGAGAAATCACCCTGGCGCTCGAGAGTGACCTTCAGTACTGGAACTGCTGCTGTGGCGCGGGGCCAGCGAACTGCAGCTCCACTCATCTGTGCTAATTTTAAACCTCAAGCCAAAAAAAAAAAATTAAAAATCCAAAAACTTAAAGGCGACATCTCCTTCTTGGTCCACCCACAGTGGGCACCGGCCTACTTGAGGGGCACAGCTCAGGCACAGGGCCCTGGCCACCCACAGCCACGCCCAGGCGCACCCCCGTGCCTCTGCAGCCAGGTCTCCCGCCCCCGAGTATCTCCTCCCCAGAGAGCTGCTCGCAAATACACGGCCCTTGGCCCCAGCGACCCCGTTAAGCAAAGCGAAGCAAAAACAAAACAAAACCGAAAAACACAAAGCAGGGCGGGGTCCCAAGAGGCTTCCCAGCGACCAGCGGCCCGGCCCGAGACGACGCTCGCCCTCCGCTTTCCACCTGCGACCTCCGTCCACTGCCCTAGGCCGTGCCCGGCTCGCCGCGCTCCGGCGGCTCCGGCAGGTGCAGCACGAACGGGAGGAGCACGCCGCGGGAGTCCGGAGCGGCCCCGAGCGGCTCGGGCTCGAAGCTGCCGCCCGCGTCCGCGTCGCCGTCCGGCGGGGGCACGAAGCGCCAGGTGCCCGCGCGGCCCACGCAGTAGATGGCCCCGTCGAGCGCGGCGCAGCGGAAGGGCTGCAGGGCGGCGGCGCCCGGGGGCCGCAGCTGCGAGGCGCAGGCGCTCCATTGCTTGGCCAGACAGTGGTAGCGGGAGACGCTGACGCCCGCGCCCGGGCCCGCCGCCGCCGCCGCCGGCCCGTCGCCGCGCGCCCCGCGCAGGTCGAAGCGGTAGAGGAAGCCGTCGAGGGCCACCATGTCGGCCGAGCGCTCGCGGCTGCTGCTGCACGGGCACTCCTGCCACTCGTCGCGCCGCGGGTCGTACTTGAGCAGCCGGTAGAACAGCGAGCCCCCCGACACGTAGATCTCGCCGTTGCAGGTCGCGGCCTCGTGCGCCACGGCGAAGGCGCCGCGGGGCAGCGGGGCCACGGCGGCCCAGCGGTCGGCGCGCGGGTCGTAGCGCTCCACGCTCAGCAGGCACTCGCCGCCCACGGCGTACAGGTAGCCGTCCAGGGCCAGCAGCTGCAGCTGCGAGCGCGCCTGGCGCAGCGGGCGCACGGCGCTCCAGCGGTCGGTGGCCGGGTTGTAGCAGAAGACCTGGTCGGACGGGCGCGCGCGGCCGTCGGGGCCCGCGGGCGCCACGCCGCCGGCCACGAAGAGGTAGTTGTAGAGCACACAGAGGCCGCAGCCGCGCGCCGGCGCGCCCTCGGGCAGCCGCGTGAGCTCGCGCCAGCCCTCCGCCGCCTGGAAGCAGTAGACGGCCGCGTCCGCGCGCGCGCCCGCCTCCCCCGAGGGGCTCTGCGGCCGGCTGCCCGCGCGCTCGCCGGCCGGCCCCAGCGCCGCGGCCAGCAGGCGCGCGCGGCCGGAGCGCAGGCGGCGGCGCAGCAGCAGGTCGCGCTCGGCGCCGGACAGGCGCCCGAACACGGCGGGCTCGCGCAGCACCTCCAGGTAGTGGTCGCTCATGAAGCGGTAGGCGGCGTCGCGCAGCTCGGTCAGCCGCTGCCGCTTGGCCGCGCTCAGCACTTCGAAGCAGTTGGCCAGGCTCAGCTGCGGCGCCACGGCGTCGGTGGCGCGCTGCGCGGCGCCGGGCAGCTGCAGGCGGCGCGCGCCGGCCACCACTTCGGCCACGTTGTCGGGCCGCACGCCCGCCATGCGCCCGCTGTACGCGTCGGCCAGCAGCAGCCGCAGCGCCGCGAAGCTCACGCCCTGCACCCGCAGCACGTCCCGCGACGCGCGCGCGCGGAAGTAGTCGCTACGCGCCGCCAGCACCGCCTTGTGCGCTCGCAGCCTGCGGCCGGACACCTCGAGGACCAGGTCGGGCTCCCCGTGCGCGGTCCCGACGCCGGGAGGCAGGGGCGCCAGCTCTCCGGGCTCCTCTGGGGACGCGGGCTCCTCCAGGGACCCGGGCTCCTCGGGGGTCGCGGGATCCTCCAAGGACACGAGCTCCTCCAGGGACGCGGGCTCCTCCGGGGACGCGAGCTCCTCCGGGGACGTGGGCTCCTCCGGGGACGCGGCCTCTTCCGGGGACGCGCGCTGCTCCGGGGCCCCGGCGCCCACGCCGCTGACTTTGCACTGCGTCTCCACTACCCGCTGGCCGCTGCACCGCGGGGGCGGGGAGCCCGCCGTGCACTCCGCCGCGGAGGCGCGAGACTGCGGCGGGGAGCCGTCCCCAGAGCTGAAGCACAGGGACGCGCCGAGGCTGCAGGGGGTCTGCGCCGCGTCCGGCGCGTGCGGGCTGCCCTCTCCCCCGGCGCCAGACTGGCCGCGCGCCGCGGGGACAGGGACGGCTCCGGGCTCGTCCCCGCCGACGCGGTCGTCCCCCGGGCGGAGCACGCAGGCGGCCCCCGAGTGCTCCATGGGAGCGCCGCAGCCCCCAGGTCTGCGCGAGGTCTAGCGCGGCGCGCGGGCGGGTTCCACTGCCTCCCCGGCCTGGCCTCTGCCGCGTCCCGCGGGGAGGGCGGGGCCAGCTCGCCCTGAACTTGCGACCCGCTGCGGCTTCGGCGGTCGGTGCCGCCTGGGTTCCGCGGGATCAGCCGTGGCCTCCGCGCAGCGCCGCCCCTGCAGGCCTTGGCGGGGTGCAGCTGGCTGCGTAGTTAGCTGGGCAGGTGGGCGGGGGCCGCGCGGCCACGGCGCGCATCCGAGCGGCGGTCCCGGTTCCTGCGGCGCCTCCCCTGGGCACTTGGGTACTCCCGCGTCCCTGTTTGGAGAGAAAAGGAGAGAGGCTGTCAGAATGTGCGTTTTTCAGCGCGGCTGCTTGTGCTGGTGGCGTCGGGCTTGCTTCCCTGCCTGGTGTTCGGATCTCAGAGTTTAGCCCTGGCGGTAAGGGCTTTGCGGCGCGTGGAGTGCACGGAATACCGGGGCGCTTGGTGTGGCAAGGCGGCCTGTCGAGGCTCCCCCTCTGCTTTGGCCCCAGCAGGCCAGACCCGGCTCTGGCGCGCCCCACAGAGCCGCTGTCTCTGCTGCACTTAAGGACCTAATGTAGCCCGGGGCAGAACGGAGGGCTCCTTTCCACGGGTGTAACTGCACTGATTTCATCAACACGTGGCGGCCTTCTGCCCTGCTGCCCGGTCACTTAGCTCAGGCTCTCTGGGACTGGCCTAAGAGGCTCCACCCCCAGGCCTGTTGGACAGGGTGGCTCCTGGAACTACCCCCTCAGTCTCCAGAGAAGCAGTCATCCAGACAGCGGGAGAGGCACCAGCAGGGACAGACGGTGAGAAGACAGAGGGGCACCTGCCGATGAGTGGCAGGACAGAGTGAGTGTCACTCCCACACGGACAGCAGGGCCACTGCCCCTCCCAGGCCTGCGGGGAGGGGGCTCCAAGTAGTGCCAGGAAGAGCAGAGACCACGACTCAGGGGGAGGGGGATGACGTGACAGCCCCCCCACCCCCCCGGGACGCTCTGCCTCTCCCACAATGCCCTTCCTGCCCCTGTGAAGGCTCAGGTGCACCTGCGGTCCTGCCCCTTCTGTGAGTCGCTGTCAGCAGCCAGCCCGTGTCTGGCACGGATGTCCCCACAGTGGTTTCCTGGCCTGCTCTCTGTGTGCTGGTGCACTTGTGGGCTCCGGAAAGCTGCAAGGGCCAAGGTCACGTGCTCACAGGATGCCGAGCAGGACCCAGCGCTCCTGTGTTTGTTCAGCTGTGCCGCACCCCACACGGGCCCCAGCCTGCACCTGGTGGCGCCCTGTCCCAGGACACGGCCGCGGGGACGTGAGGCCAAACAGGAAACCCCGTGTGGACCGCACATGTGAAGGCACCGCACCTTGGGGTTCTCAGGGCCATCCCAGCCATCTGAGCAGCCAGAGGGAGGGGGCCCAGATCCAGGCACACTCGTCAGAAGCGCACACAGGCCTCGTGTCTGAAACGCAAGCCCAGAGCTCGCTGTGCTCGGCACCCCACGGCTGCAGTACTGATTCAGACACCTCTGAAAGCTTTCCACCGCTTCTGTGCCTTTCGGCTAGAACCGAGTGCACCGTGTTCGCCCTGTGAGCCACAGAGGGGTCCCGGGGTCCCCAGGGCTCTCTGGCGGGACTGCCAGGGCAGCGTGGGGGTTCTTACAGAGCTCACACCAGCTGCGAAGGGAAGTCCCGCAACAGTTCCAGACACTCCGGGGCCAGCTGGGGGCCGGAGGACGCTAGGGAAGGCCACATGTTGTCATAACAGTGCTCCATCGCGAGCCACACCCCCGCGCTGGAGCAGACCAGACCCCAGGCGACACCACCGGGAGCAGTGCAGTGGCCCGGGGAGCTCCCGACGCCACACACGAGTACCACGCGGTGCCCTCAGAGCTAAGCCCCTCCTCCAGGCCCATCACCCCTCCCACTGGCAGGTACCAGAGCCAGTTGGCTGTTGGCCAAGGGTAGCATGGCCGGGCCTCCTGTGCTGGCCCCGTGGGTTCAGGACAGCCTTGGGTTTGTCCCTGCCTGCTGCACCGGGGAAAGAGGAGCCCGGGGCCCGTTTTGCAGTGGTAGTGAAAGACACGGAAGGTTGATGGTTGCTTTTTTTCCAGTGACCCACTGTGGTGGTTTTACCTTGACACAGATAAGCGGGCGTCAGCCCATCTACTCTTGACAGTGACTCAGCAACTCAGACTGCTCTGCGTCAGGTTTCTCTGGGCTGGAAGCAGCAGTATCCAGAGGATTCTCCCGTGTCTGTGGTGGCACTAGGACCAGGACCCCCAGAGAATCAGGGTCGCGTGCAGGAGCCCGTGCTGTGAAAGACGTGGACGCCCCCTCTGGTGGGGCAGGGGGGTTTCCACCCCCAAGGACCAGGCATGGGCTTTGTCACCATCAGGTGGGCAGTGGTGAGGAGTGTGGACAGGTGCACTTATTACCTCTGGTTAGTAACCCCTGTCCTGAGAACCAGTTTGTTGTTTAAAGATTTATTTATTTACTTGAAAGGCAGAGTTAGAGAAAGATCTTCCATTCCCTGGTTCACTCCCTAAATGGCCGTAACGGCCAGAGCTGGGCCGATCTGAAGCCAGGAGCCAGGAGCTTCTTCTGGGTCTCCCTCGTGGGTGCAGGGGCCCAAGCACTGGGGCCATCTTCTCCTGCTTTCCCAGGCCACAGCAGAGAGCTGGATCGGAAGTGGAGCATCCAGGACTCGAACTGGTGCCCGATTCACATGCCACCCTGCAGGCGGAAGCTTAACCCACTACGCCACAGCACCAGCCTGAGAACCAGTTTTCATTAAATACAATTAGGTAGCATTTTCCTCTGAAGGGTACACATTTCTTCTAGACCTTATAAATACCTAGAGATTTAGAGCTTGCGCTCGCTTTTCACTGTTATTTGAACTTTACGAGCGTAGGGGCTGGCGTTACGGCACAGCTGGTGAAGCTGTCTCGGGTGATGCCCGTAACCCGTGCTGGAGCGCCAGCCCGAGTCCCGGCTGACGTGCCTGGGAGGAGCAGCAGATGATGGATCAAGTACCGGGAGCCTGCCACCCGGGGGGCCTGAGCGCCTGGCCTCAGCTCGGCCAGCCCCGGCTGCCGCTGCTCTTTGCAGAATAAACCAGCACATGGAAGAGCCCTGTCTCTCCCTCCCTGTCACTCCACCTTTCAAATAAATCAGTAAGTCAAAAAGAAAAAAAAAAAGATGGTGTATGCTTTCCCAATATGGACATTACTGCCGTGTGGACATCAGTTTATTCAGAGTTAAATGTCACGCTTCGCTATAGTACTGCTTGCCAAAGGCTTCCCTTCCAAGAATTGTCAACCGCGGCTGTCAGAGGCAGGGCGTGACCAGAGTCGGGGCACGTGCTCGGCTTGTGAGGAGTTCCTTCTCGGTGTCCGGCACCCGGCATGGTCACAGCCCCCCGGGAACTGGTGCCCGTGCGGGCGTAGCAGACGGCCAGGGGATCGGGAAGAAAACCCACAGAAGAGATACGGCGTCCCAAACTCGCAGGGACCCGCGGCATTTGTTTGTTTATAACAATGTGCTGATTCACTTTCCTCCAGTGTTTTTCCGGGTTACCCCTCCCAGGCCCAGTTCCTGGGTGGGCAGGGAAGCCGGCCTGGGGGTGAGGAGCGCCGGCCCCAGGTGCCCAGGGCAGGCTGCCGGCCCTCACCCGTGCCCTGCCTCTCACCCTCAGTGCCTGCTGCGGCAGGGAACGCCGCCCTGCCCACGGCTGGCCACGAACAGGTCTCGCTTTGAGACACCTCCCCACGCCCCGCGCTGCCGTTGGGCCCCTAAACCCAGAGGCTGCACCGGCCCTGAGGGGTGGGAAGGGGTCTGCCCAACAGCCCAGCGCTGCTGACGGGGAACACACGCTGGCCCCAGGCACTGATGCCTGTGTGGACGACATGCAGCAGGGGCAGGGCGGTGCCGAGGCACAGCCGGGAGTCGCAGCCTGCCGCTTCCAGCTCCAGCTCCCTGCTAATGCCCCCGGCCAGCAGCAGCCGTGGGCCCTGATACCCACATGAGAGGCCCAGCTGGAATTCTGGGCTCCTGCCTTCGGCCTGGCCCAACCCCAGCTGTTGCGGCCACTTGGGGAGGGAGCGAGTGGATGGAAGAACTCCCTCCATCTCTGCCTTGCAAGTAGTCTTTAAAAAAAGAAACGGAGCCGCCATCCGAAGGGTGAGTGGACTCGTGGACATGCACTGTGTGCCGGGTGCTTCCCCGGGGTCCTTCCCAGCAGCGCCCAAGCCGCCGGCTCCCAACGCGAGCTGGAAGCAGCGCTTCTCCGGGCCCAGACAGACTGAGCATCCGGGCACTGCAGCACCAATGCTCGCCTCCTCACCGTGCTGTGCCGACTCCATGCCGGCCCACAGCCCACGGGCGTCCCCAGCCCGACCCTGGGAACTTGAGTCTTGTGGCCTGACACAGTTGGCGGAAGTAAAATTCGAGAATTCCCAGAGGCAGGTCTCGTCCTGCCCAGAACCTACCTCTCGCAGTGGCCCCGCCTCCCCAGCCACCACTTAGGGGGCACCTGGCCTGGGCCACCGCTGCCGGCCAGGACAGCTGGGCAGGCTCACTTCCCAGTCGCACAGGGCAGCCCCTCCAGGCCCCGCCCGGCAGGAGGCCTGAGCTCAGCGCCGGGCGTGTCGTTTCTCAAACAGGCACGGGGGAAACACGGGACGGGACCAGGAAGGAAGGGAGAGCACCTTAACTGGCATCCTGGGCGCACGGCGGCCTCTGCAGAGGAGTGAATGAATGAGTGAATGAATGAGTGAATGAATGAGTTACCCAGGAAAAGGACAGGTAGGGACAGCACCAGACAAAACCGTGCAACGGCGTGTTGTCACTGAGGTATGACGCCCTCACACGTCTGCTTCGTCCAAAGGTTCAGAGGTCACCTCTGGATTTGTCTTGGAGATAGGACTATGATCTCTGTAACTATGCTGAGTTTCCGTAGTTCCTAAAATAATTGGTTTAAAAATTGCTAAATCCATGCATAGTTTTTTTAATATAGTTTTCATAACTAAAAAGGATTTATTGATTTATTCAAGAAGCAGAGGTAGAGAGGGTGAGATCTTCCATCTGCTGGTCCATTCCCCAATGGCTGCAACACGCAGCCAGGACCCAGGAGCTTCTTCCAGGTCTCCCACGTGGGTGCAGGGCCCAAGCACTCAGGCCATTCCTGCTGTCTTCCCAGTGCATCAGCAGGGAGCTGGATTGGAAGTGGAGAAGCCCGGAGGGGACCTGGTGCCCATGTGGATGCCCGTGTTGTAAGCAACAGCTTTACCTGCTACACCACAAT